TTGAATGATTACATGTTAGAAGTGTAGAAATCGACATCTGAAAAATGTTCAATCTTTTTGCTGTATATTGTTAGACCACCATGGAAAACCTGAAAGCACTGAACGGCCGTTTCGTCCTATTATGGGACTCCTCAGCAGCTTGCACTCACGATCCTGCCTTCCGAGGTTCGAACCCGGGACCTAACAGTCTCGTGCCAGAGCCCTTAACCTGAGCCGGTCGGTATCCAACGGTGTTGATGTCTAACCTCAACCAATCCAAGAAATTGCGCAACCAACTTCCATTGTACTGTGGTAGATACCAGTCTCCACCTGGAATGAATTAGCTCCAGTGGTCACGAATTCTCACTGGAACTCCAGGAATTTCATCATGTAGCCAGTCACCAGTGAGCACTGCTGAGGAGTCTTACAATAGGACGAAAAGGACATCCATTGCTTCCAGGTTTTTCATAGTGGTCTAGCTTCAATTGTCTCCTGATCTCAACCATATAAAAGGACAGATAACTTGTTCAAATATCTAGATGACAGGAACATCTAGCCAAGATATTCAAAGCAAACCGTCTAGCAGATTTTCGAAGAATTCATTATATTTATAAACTCTTCTAACTTACCTTTACATTCTTAACTGTTAAACTTTCAGTTTATTATTGATCTTCAAGTTATAATTAGAATTTAAAGTTAATTTATATCCATTATAATCTTTAACGACAAATCCTAAATTAGTCTTAATTTTAACCTAAACCCTAGTCCTGAACTCTAAGCATAACTCCGGTTATAAATCGAACTCCAAATGGCAGCATAGGCCACCCACCAGCATTCTCCAACCCACTCTGTCCTGAGCCTTCCTTTCTAGTTCTATCCAATTTTTGTTCATTCTTCTCATGTTTGTCTCCATTTCTCAGCGTAATGTGTTCTTTGGTCTTCCTCTTCTCCTTTGACCTTCGGGATTCCACGTGGGGGCTTGCCTTGAGACGCAATTGGATGATTTCCTCAAAGTGTGCCCAATCCACTTCCAGCACTTCTTCCTGATCTCTTCCTCCGCTGAAATCTGGTTTATTGTCTCCCACATTAGAATGTTGCTGATAGTGTCTGACCAACGGATTCGAAGTATCTTGCGTATACAGCTGTTAATAAACACTTGTATCTTCTGGATGATGACTTTCATAGTTCTCAATCAATTTTCTCAAACTTGAATGTCCGTTCGTTTCCAAACCATGCATTCTGTGTTCTCATTCTCCTTCCTTCAATCCTCTTAATCTTTTATCCTCAGGCATTTCACTTTCGATTGATGATACATACTACTTATATCTGTCAAAGTCAGTAGCAGATATCACAGTAATACTACTGATATTAATGATATTAGTGATATTAGTTGTAATAGTCATAGTAGTGTTGTACTGACGGACAAATCAGATTTAGGGTAGGGATTATTAGAATTTAACACAGAATTCAAAATGCATGAATGAAGAGTTTGTATGATATAAACATAGTATTAGGACGAGCCAAACTGAGTTGTTAGGTGAAATGAATAGTGAAAAAATGTCCTTGCCTATTACTTAGTCCATTCTACAGAGATTTAAAACAATTGTTAAATTAGTACTCTCCATAAATCTCAACCCTTAGTCTTGAAAACAGTGTATTTTCTTAATGATACTATACAACACAGATTGATTACTTTTTATTGAGACCAAGAATCAATTGATGTTAGACCACTGTTGAAAACCTGGAAGCACTGGACTGCCATTTCTTCTTAGTACGGAACTCTTTGGAAGTACGCATCCACGGTGCCGCTCTTAGGACTCGAATCCCCTACCTACGTGGAAAGGTTGACGTTAGACATTAACACCATTGTATGCGATCTTAGTGATCTGGAGGTGATGCATTTGAGAGCCGAAACCAAAGTTCCAGAGTTTGAATCTTGCGTGTGGAATAGTGGATGTGCACTACTGAGGTATCCCATAATAGGATAAAACGGCCATTCAGTGCTTTCAACTCTTCATTAATAGTCTAACATCAATTGATTCATGATCTCAATAAAAAACTTAATAGTCTTCACAACCTCATACTAATACAGTCTAATTAATCTTGAATTGCTGCTCAAGTTAGTTAATCCATCTAGCAACAACTCATTTTTCCATGATATCTGATATCAGTTTATGATAAAATCTGTAACCATAACTCACTCAGTATTGTTTTGTATGAATCTTCCCATCGGTGTTTTAGTGCTGCAATTGGTGAGTCTCTAATTGGTATATGTGCATACTGTGCGTATTGCCTCGATATAACCTTAATTCACAAGCATGATAAGCAGAGATGTATAGTGGCTAGCCAGGTGACGAGTTCCAAATAGGACGAAACGCGCTTTATCCTGAGTTCCACTGCTAGCCTCTATCCATCTTCGTAACCATAACTCTTCAATCTTAACTAAAAATACTTTACCATAACCGTAAATAATGTGGAGAATTAAAAATGTGTTTGAGTATTTACAATGTTTTGAGAATTCGGACAATCTACATCCATAGGGACGAATATATATGTTATAGCTTCTTTTTGACTTACGAACAGAGTAACCAGAGGAAGACAGTGATAGATTTATCATTTATGTAAAATCTGTTTAAACTCTTCAAAATAATTGTTTTATTTTCATTCTAAATGTAAGCTTCTCACCTAAATTTTTTACCTTTACTCATAATCCAGAGCTACATAAGTGCTAGTGGTGGCGTTAGAGATGAGATCAATGAACATATAGTGAAAGCCAGAGCGGCCAATCTGCCAATCCAAGTAGTCATTGGCGCCTTCGTGATGTTAGTCCGGCTGTGAAAAGTCGGATCTACAACGCGTCGGTAAGAGCAGTTTTGCTCTATGCTTGTGAAACATGGCCTCTCCAAGTTGAGGATGTCAAACGACTCTCTGTGTTCGATCATCGTTGTCTCCAAAGGATTGCTGACATTCAGTGGCAACACCATGTTAGTAATGCAGAGGTTCGGCATCGTGTGTTCGAACGCAGAGACGACAACCCAATCTGTGTCACCATCTTGAAACACCGACTTCGGTGGCTTGCACATGTTTTACGAATGTCGTCCCAGAGACTTCCACGTCGTGCATTATTTGCTGACTCTGGGACTGGTTGGAAAAAGCGGAGAGGAGGTCAGTGTATGAAATGGTGTTGCGGCATGAAAGAAAGCTGCAAAAGGCTAGCTTCTGTTGGTCCTTCACGACTCCCTGGCTGGGGTCCGAGAGATGGTGCAACACAGTGGCTAGAGACGCTATCAGATATGGCTCAGAATAGAAGCCAATGGCGATCCTGCTGCAACCTTCTTTTACTTTCTTCATAAAGAGTGGTTCTAAATTTCCTATCTGAGAAAGTTCTTCTGGTTATACATTTCAGTTCCCCCCCATCATTACTCTTCTCTTTTTTCATTCTTTTTTTCTTCTTTTGTATATACGCATCTTCCCCCTTTCTCCTCCAATTCTCATTATTTTGTGTGGCACCCTTTTGTACCAATATGTATGTGTTTAAATAAATTAATAAATCCGAACCCAAATCTTAAGATCATATCCCTATCCTAAGCGAAATCACTAGCTTAAACCTTGTTCCTGACTTTAATTCATACACCTGACCCACCTAGTAACCATAAAAATTTAGTCAAAAGCCTTATACTTTTCAAGGTTCCTGTGTATAACATTACTCATTTAAATTACCTACATGTTGATTGGGTTTTACCTTCTTAAGGCCGTTCTTAGAATCCCTGAAGGTCGTCAAAACATCCTGTATGGCAAAGACCGTACAGCTACAGGCTTCTTTTGCATATGGTCAAATGATATAATTCTACATTGATCAGTTAAGAAATCACAATACTACTATGAGTTTTCATACTGTTGTGTATGATTTAGGCGACATTCCAAATTCTGTTATCAATTCTGAGATTGTTATATCTCGAACATAGATTCTTAGTATGTTGCGTAGTACCAGACTACTTGAACGATCGAATCAGCAACGTTGCAAGAGAGAAGGCTGAAGACTAGTAAGTAGGAATGTTATTCCCTAAACAGTGTTAAATATAGTACAAACATCCCATGTATTTCTAGCTTTTGGCTGAAAGTAAATCATCATTTCGGAGAGCCAATAGACACTCACTGGGGGGGGGGCTTTTTATTCATCCGATAGGGAAGCAACACGACGACATTCTAGAATATTCCTCTAATGGTGATTGGATGGCATGTGTTCGGCTGTTTCTCGGCTTCTTGAGGCTTCCTAGAGTTTGTCAACGAGCCATCCTTACACATCCCCTCTTTTAAAAGATTCGGAGTTGATATCAGGATTTCAAATTTCGCTAATATATCCTCCCCCACGAAATAATGTTGGAACATCACGATGTAATCAGTTCTGGTGGATTCTCTGTTAAATGCGACACATGTAATTTAAATAATGTCAGAATAATGGTAACTTAGGTATATCAGGATCCAACATTATTTCTACTACTATTATTATTACTACTACCACTACTACTGCAATTGATCAGTCACTCTTATTAGCATTTGTGCATACTGAGCGGAATGTATCGATATTGCCTGAAGTCATAAGCTTGGATAAATGATGACTAGAAATGGAATCCAAGACGTGCGTTTCTTTCTATTTGAGATTTGTCGGCTGGGTGTACATGCATCTAAGATTTTGATGTTCGTCCTGGAACTCAACCCGAAAACAGACTAAATGAGCGTCCTGGATTCCCTACTTTCCACTAACCATCTTTGCTTATAAATATTTATATCTATTTTCATTATAATTTATGAATCAATTCTATCCACTTTTTTATATAGTTGAGATCATGAGTCAATTGAAGCTACACCACCATGGAAAACCTGGAAGCATTGTAGGACTCCTCAGTAGTGTGCATCCACGATCCCGCCTGTGCGAATTTAGAACCCAGGAAATACCAATCTCGCTCCAGAGCACTTAACCGATAGACCACTTAGCCGGTCGGCATTCAACGATGTTGATGTCAGGATAAAGAATAAAGTTTCCAGTTTATTTATATAAGAAGCAATTACAATTCATCAATGAACATATTGATAACAGTTTGATTCAACGACAAGTGAGAAGAAGATACCAAAAACCATCGACTTCATTATGCATAAAGGTTTCGTTAGTTATTAGATTTGAACGAATCATAATTTCATTTATGGCATACTATTAAAGGAAGTATGTTCTTTAGTCCAGTGATTCAAAAAAAGAGCATAGACTTCTATATGAAGTTGACATAGTTAGTGTATTCGGTTATGGATTAGCACAGGTATAATGGGTATCTAATGGAATCATTATCGATCCTGATGATAAGTATTGAATAGTCTCCAGTTGGAAGTTCATAATCCAGTAAATCGACATCTGAATCGTATACATTCTCTTCGCTGTATATAATGTCAACAACTATGATATCTTTGATTGAGCCTTTAATAACTTATACAATGAAAGGTTGTACACATTTCAGAAAGGCATCTGTTGAAGTGTTAAGATGACAGGAACAGGTAACTTAGATATTCAAATAGGCCGTCTTCTTTCATATTGATAGTTATGAAACTGTGTCGAGTACATTACAGGGAAGAGTGAAAATAAATAAATAAACAAACAAACAGAGTAATGATTTCAAGCTAGAACAATCATTTGACATTGTTTTCTTTGTACATCAGAAGAAATAAGGACCTAAGAGAAAATAACATTCAGTAGAAGAGAAGAAAAATCCTCTGAAGTCAAACAAGAAATGCACTTTAACGAATATATATACATAGATAAATAGATATCAATGAAGTGGGTTATTCGATTGGAAGGATACAGTATTCAAGTTAGGGGATATTGTTGAAAGTGAAAATCAACATATCAAGCCTATCAGGAGTTAGGGTTAACTTCAAGTTGAAATTTGGAAGAGATAAAACAATAATAAGGACCAAACCATCTTGATTGGAATGATGGAATGGGTTTTTGATGATCAACAGAATTTCATATTTCTTTGTTGATTTTGATCTAGAATAGAAAGAAAAGATAACATATATCAATATATAATCATTGTATCTTAATGATTTACTTATGTGAACACACAAACATTGGTATAAAGGGGTACTGAATACATATGCGACGCAGAAGTCACTTGGTTTATGTATGGGCTGTAATGCTGAACGAGTGCCCAGACCGAAACAGGAGGTTATTGAAGGGTGACACGCCCCAGAGCCTTCGACCTTAATGTCTAATCCACAAGACAGTGGTGCGACGTCTGGAGATGCAGTCCCATGATAGCCAGTGACCAACAATTGGCTCATAAACTATTTCTTCCTGCAGGATCCTGGATCGTATGTTCACCATTGATTTGAAATGAGGGTTTTCTAACTCCCTTAAGTGGACTCTCCATATTCACTAAGGCAGTTAGAGCGTCACACATTTACTTTTCATCCTCTCAACTTAATGAACAACACTCTCGCAACGAGAAGGCAGCCATTAAGAATATCCATTCAAAAGAAATGAAAAGAGCCCACATTAATTAAGCCGAACAACAACAACGTTGTATTTTAATATGAGCACTGAAGGTAGAAATAAAATTGAAACGATATGAAACCCTATCTGGTTTAACCTCTACAACCAATTATAAACGTAGTTGTCTACCTATCAAAGAATCAGTCTACATTCAACAAATACCGTAATCTTTCATGAATTTAATTACAATTTCTTTATATAGTTGAGATCAGGAGTCAATTGAAGCTAGATCACCATGGAAGAAGACCTAGAAGCACTGGATGGCCGTTTCGTCCTATTGTGGGACTCCTTAAAGGCAGTGCGCATCCACGATCCCGCACTCGCGAGCGAGATTCAAACCCATGACCTACCAATCTTGCGCTAGAGCACTTAACCTCTAGACCACTAAACCGTCCGGCATCCAATGGTATTAATGTCGCACTTCTTTCTTAACATACTTATTACTTCAATCACTCAAATCCCTCGATCATCTTTAACTTACATTGATCATAATAACCAAGATCATGTATAGGGGATAAATGTGAATATGTATATCCTGAATAAACGATAGAATTTCCATAGGTTCTTTGAATGGTTGATTGTAAATAACCATCATTATGATTAGGATTATTGTTACTATCAGTATACATTTCAATATCAGGATTGTTCAAAGGCGTATTCGATATATTCGGATGACTATTCCTTATAGAATAATAAAGATTGGACGGATCTCCTGAAGTCCATCTTCGTCCCATAGATTGATGATAATAATCATTATTACTACCAGTTTCATAAGAGTAAGGAAATGAACAGATTGGATTTGTATGTAAATGATTACTATAACTAAATAGATCATTATTATTATCATTATTATAAGTAGTATTATTAGTAGTATTCATATTAAAATGATCATTTATTGAATAATGAGTAGTATATCGATTATTAATTGATTGATCAATCATATTGTTATCTGATCTAATCTCATTATTGATTAATTTTGATGGAATATTATCGATTTTTAATAAATCATTTGATTGATATGGTTTAATGATCAATGATTGATCTTGTTTTTTGATTGATTTTATTAAAATTGGTTTACATTTACTTTTAATAGTAGAACATAATTTTAATTTACAATATGATTTAATCCATAATATAATACTACTTATAATGATAAGTAGTAAGATTATAGAAATCATGACTAAAATCAATACCCAATGATGATGATTAAACCAATATGGTAATTTTTGATTGGATTTGATTGATTGATTATTGATTATTGATTTATTGATTAAATCAATATTCAATGAATGAATTTTAATATAAAATTGTGTTTCTTTTGATAATGATGGTATACCCATATCTTTAAGTAGTATCTTCAGTTGATAAATACCTTCAATAGGTTCAATTTGTGAGGGGTTTGTTTGAATAGCATGATCCAGATGTGGGGGGAAATAGGTATGAGTTAACCAATTGGTATATAATTTACCACTGGTTTCATTTAAATAAAAAAATTGACTACCATTTGTATATTGATTTAATTGATATATAATAGTACCATTTGAATCATAATCTGGATCATAACCTTTAATTTGCAATATAAAACTATAGATTGGTGTACTTGTATAAACCATCATCATTGAATGATCTTGATCCTGATCCTGATCTGGATCCTGATCCCGATCTCGATCCTGATCTTGATCTTGATCATAATAATTAATAATACTATTATAAATAGGATATATACATATTGGGATATTATCATTTTCATCTAATATATTAATCGTTAATGTATATGTTATACTACTTATTAATTCAATATCAGTATTATCATTATAAGTTATAATTTTATAAAAAATTTGATCCACTTTTTCACGATCTATTACTGATCGGCTAATAAGTAATGCTTTTAATTCATATTCATTAATTAATTCTGTTTTTGTAATTTTTGTATAATTAAAATTTGGATCTGGTATCATTTTAATATAATGATTATATGGATTATCGATTGGTCGATTATTGATTGATTGATTATTGATTAATTGATCATTATTATTATTTAATAATAAATGTATACGTGAATAATTAAAATTTTGATCTAAATCAATTAAATGTATAAAATCAATAAAAGTATTGATTTTTTGATTTTCAATAAAATCAATATTAATTGAATTTAATAATTTAGGTAAATGATCATTAATATCGATTAATTGTATAATTAATTGTGTTGTAGATGTTAAATTACCTTTATCTTTAACAATAATAGTTAAATTTAAAAAATCAATTAATTCATGATCTAATAATTGATTATGTAATACTGTAATCCTACCAGTCAATGGATCAATATGAAATGGTTGTTGGTGAGGTGGTGGTGATGGGGGTGATGATGGTGGTAATATATGTTTCCCCCCTTCGTCTCCTTCTTCCACAACTTGATCATGAATATAATTGAATATGATTGGACCTAATTGATATGTTAATTGACCATATTCACCATGATCTAAATCGTATGCTTTAATTTCCATAATAAATGATCCATCTGGTATATGTTCAGGTATTTGAACATAATATTTAGATTGTATAAATAATGGGATATTATCATTTTGATCCGATATAGCTATTGTTATACGTAATGGAAATGATTTCAATGGTTGTTGCTGGGGATGTTGGGGGTGTTGTTGTTGCTGTGCTTGTATTTCATTTAGTTGCTGGGTAATATTCAATGTTTCTAAGTGATCAATATGATCAGCTAAATCATAACATTCAATTAATATAGATGCACGTGGTATTTTTTCATAATCAAATATACCTTTAGTAAAAATAAAAAATACAGTATCCGAGATTGGATGTAATCTTAAATAATCATAACCAGCTATCAATTCTTTATCATGTAGATGACTTGTATTCAATTGGATTGGTTTACAAGTAATCTATAAAGAAAAAAGAAACGAAAGGATAAAGCAATCAGATGCTGGATGCCGGCTATTTCAGTGGTCTGTCGGTTAAGTGCTCTGGCGCAAGACTGATAAGTCCTGTTTTCGAACCTCGTGGATGTTCACTGCTGGGGAGTCCTATACCAGGACAAAACGGTTGTCAAGCGCTTTCAGGTTTTTGATGATGGTCTAGCTATAATCGGCTAATGAATTCAACTGTTAAATTACTGTGATCTTCAAAAAGCTCAAGCTCTGACGTTAACCATCATGTGGTCAATAGTGACTGACTTCAAGAAGTGTCTCCTGGAGTTCTAATGAGAAGTTGTAAGTAGTGGATGTCAACCTTGTTTGTCGTAGAAGTGGTAACTCATTGAAGACAATGGCAGATGATGACTCGATTTTGTGTATTGGTTGAAGTTAGATATTAACATTGTGTGGATGCCGACTGGCTCAGTAGTCTAGAAATTAACTGTTCGCGTGCGAGATTGATATGTTCTTCGGTTCGAATATCGCATGGTGGGATCGTTGGTGGGCACTTCTAAGGAGTCTTATACTAGTACGAAACGGTCGTCCAGTGCTTCCAATTTTACCATGGTGATCTATCATCAATTCACTTACTATAATATCCACAAAAAACCCTTTCTGAGTATATTCAAGAGTTACCCACTAAAACGTCATGTATCATGTACCATAGTATGATCATTATTTTCATTAGACTTCATTCAATTCAGTAATCATCACTTTAAGTTACAGAATGGTACTTGTCAAGAATTTTGTTACTGAATAGTCACTGGTTCAGTGAGTATGTTATAACTTGTGGACCTTGCGTTCTATTAATATGTAAACGCAATGATTCCATAAATTAAAGAACAGTGATTTATTGACCGGACCTATAACAAATAAATCCGTACGAGAAGTCTACACTCTTTATGGGTCCTTCTTCTTGACTACCCCTTACTGCCTTTACGGTCCAGAACGACAATCTTAGCCTCAGAGATATGAATCATGTATTTCCATTATACTGGGTTTATATACAATCCAAACAAGCCACATCACACCAGAAAATAGAAAACAACATTTGTACAAGATAAAGCCTATGGGTTGCTGTGAATGTGAGAGACTGTAATTAATAAGCTGGACATAACTTAACAATAGTATGTTGTATAAAAATAGTCTATGAGTCAAAATAAAGCTTATGATAAAAGGAATATGAATATGCATAAACTAGTCACTGTAAGCAAAGATAGATAGTGGCTAGCAGTGGAATCTAGGAAAAAGCGCGTTTCATACTATTTGGGAGTCGTCACTAGCTAGATGTACCTGCATCTCAGAGTTCATGTCCACTCTGGGATTCGAACCCAGTATCTTTCGCTTCAAACGACATTGCGTTATCTATTCAGCTACTGAGTCCTGATAGCCACTTGCTCGTGCAATGAGGTGAAGTTTAAATTCACTTAGTATTGTTTTTTTTCAATCTTTCCATTGATGTTTTGGACTGCAACTGGTCAATCTCTAACACGCTTTGTCCTGTATTCCACTACTAGCCACTATCCATATTTGTTTAGCATGCTTGTGAATTGAAGCTATATCAAGGCAATACGCACAGTATTCACATATGTCAATTAGAGACTGATTAGTTATACAATAAGCATATGTTTATCGTATTGGTCCACAAATGGATCTCATTAGTTACCATCCATTATTCTCGTTAGGATATAATAATGTACAATACTAATCCATGCTAGTTGTTAATCAACAAAAGCTAGAAACAGAAATCACTAGAAGTCAACTCGATGAGTTAAAGAAAGAAAGAGAGAAGCATTCAATAATGAGAATTAATTAATCTTAGGTCTAACTTCCGGCAAAATCTTCAATGTGTACACTGTTATTCTATCATTGTCCTAATTTGAAATTCAGGAACAACAATAACAACACCAACAATAACTAACATACAAAACTTGTTTTCATTTATTTATCCGTTTCATATTTAGACAGAGAGAAAGACTTAATTAGGTTCGTCATTCATTCATCCATTCATCCTTCTACAAAGTTTCGTTCACATTAGGTAAAACAAATTCCGGTCATCTGTGTTATTGTTATGAATCCTTCTTCTTCCCCTTCTTCCTTTCCTTCTTCTTCTTCTTCTTCTTCTCCTTCTTCTTCTTCTTCTTCTTTTTCCTCATCTTTGTCTTTTAGTGTTAGAATCAGCAATCAAGTTTTATTAAAAAATAAGTAATTAGTTTATTGCGTGATCAAGATTCCCAGGTAACAAATGTGTACATTGGATTGATCGATCTGTATATATATATGGATCAATTTTGTTCTTTTATATTAGTATTAAACTAATAATAAGTTGAAAGTAAAGATGAATAGTGGCTAACAGTGAAATCCAAGAGGGGCGTTTCGTCCTATTTGAGATTCGTCAGCCATAATCGATCTTCACTGTTCCTTTTCAGTGTATTATTTAAAACAAAGAAGATTATTCATTTGGTGTTGTTTACATGTATCTTTTCATGATTATTTAAGACTACAATTGATCAGTCTCTTATTGGCATATGTACATCGTGTGCAGACTGCCTTGATATTACCTTAAGTCATATGCATTTTAATCAAAGATGGATAGTAGCTAGCAATAGAGCAAACGGTACTGGGTTCGAGTCCTTAGAGTGAACATCAACTCTGAGATGCAGGAACATACAGCTGATGAATTCCAAATAGGACGAAATGCGCTTTTTCCTGGATTCCACTGCTAGCCACTATCCATCATTCCTTATAATGCTTGTGAATCTAGGCTATATCGAGGCAATACGCACATTATGCACATATGCCAATAAGAGACTGACCAGTTCCAGTCCTAAACATCAATGGAAGATTCAAATAAATAATACTAAGTGAATTTAATAGGTTGAAAGTTTATTTTGGCAATAGTTTTCTTTAAAGCAAAGATGTCTAGTGACTAGCAGAGGAGTTCAGGACGCGCGTTTCATCCTATTTGGGACTCGTCAGTTGGATGTAACTGCATCTCAGAGTTGATGTTCACTCTGACACTCGAACCCAGTATCTTTCGATTCAATTTAGGCTGTATCGAGGCAATACACACAGTATTTATATATGCCAATTAGAGACTGACTAGTTGCAGTCCTAAACATCAATGGGAAGATTCAAACAAACAATACTAAGTAAAGGAAGATAAGAGTTTGTGTGTGTGTGTCTGTGTAACATATTGTATTCAGTTCTGAATAGGGTTGCAGATCTTAATCCTCCCATAGATGATAGATGGGTTTGTTCAGAATTAGCCAAAATAATATCAATCACTGATCATCACTCTTCAAATATTCAAGTTCTTTGCTTCCTTTAAGTATGGTACGGTCCGTCTAACGCCCTGGTACGGCCAACAGTGGGGAGAGTCCGCTCTCCCTCTCCAAATGCTCTAACATGGCTACGCGTAAATAGCGTCTGCCAGGGAAGTCCTACTCACTGCGCTTTAATCGGGTTGTTGAACACGGAAAGTTCACCTAGGGGAGTTGGAAAACTCTGATTCCAAACCAATGGTGTACATGGGCTCCAGTGTCCTGAGGGAACTATGTTCAAATAAATAAATAAATATGGTACTAGTTTTAAGGTCCCATTAGTTTCAGATTAGTATCGACTGTAGAGCAATTGCGAATTGAATTTCCACATTACACCACTGCTAAATATTTGCTTATCAAGCCCCATTAGCACTGACTATGTAATTTAGCGAATAAGCTAAATGAACCAGTACATATTATTCCACAGAATTCAGAGAATACTTTGAATCTTAAGGCCTTTAATTCATTCGAAATCCAAATTATTGTTTTTAACAATAGTAGTAGTAATTCAATAGTTAAATGCAAAAGTCCACTGAAGCTAAGTTATCATAGAAAACCTGGAAGCACTAGACGGCATTTTTGTACTAGTATATGACTCCTCAGAAGTGAACATCCACGATCCCGTCTCACACGATTCAAACCCAGAACTTATCAGTCTCGCGCCAGAGCACTTAACCAACAGACCACTGAGATGGCCGGCATCCAGCAGTGCATATTTACCATCATACACCTGGGACTAGAACCCACGATTTGCAGTCTCCACAGGCGACCGCTTAACCTCTATAACACTGAACCAAAATTACTACAATCTCTACAAAAAACCTTTCAATCTATTAGTATTAGTCTCTTAATCTTTCCACATGGGAATTAGAGAGAATTATGGAAAATTATATCATTTCCTCCTCTTCGTCCTCCTCCTCCTCCTCCTCTTTCTTTTTTGGATACTCTACTGAGAACTTTCATTAAACTTAATGTCTGTTTTCTAGTTTCAAAATATTTTGTTTTTCAAAATTCTCTAAGGACAAAATATTAATGATAATCAATAAAATTTTCGTAACATCTGTAATTTCGATTCCATCGTTCACATGTATGATTTATTCTGGTAAGATTGGTTTCTATGGGATGGGGTTGCTGACTTCATGCCGAACTACCCTCCTATTTTTGGGTTTAGGATCGACAATAGCCCTAAAAGAGCTACAGGCCGAAATTTTTTTCTGGTAAGATTGTTTTCTATGGGATGAAGGTGCCGATTCCATGCCGAACCCCCCCTCGTTTTTGTGGGTTTAAAATCGACAGTAGCTCTAGAATTGCTACAGGCGGACTTTTTTTCTGGTAAGATTGTATTCTAAAGGATGGGGATGCCGACTCCATGCAGAACTCTCCGCCACGTCGAATTCCCGCCCTTTTTGTGGGTTTAGGATCAAGTGTAGCCCCAGAGGAGCTACAGGCGGAACTTTTTGTGGCAAGGTTGTTTTCTACGGGATGGGGTTGTCGACTCCACGCCGAACTACCTTACCTTTTGTGGGTTTAGGTTCGACAGTTGACCTAGAAGAGCTACAGGGGGAGTTGTACACATGTATACATTTATAGATAATATGTGTCTTGTTCAAATGTTAATTGGCATTCTAGGAATTTACATTTTAGACT